GGACTACAATGGCAACGAGCATGAGAGTGAGGCCTGACATACAGCACTTGCTCACAAACTACCCAAGGGGACAGCCCACCTCCTGCGCCCGACCAGGTACACATCCAGCTTTGCAACTGAGCTCACCCACTGCTCCCTCAGCAGTGTATTTCAGTCCATCTGCCTATTCTGCTCCCCTCTCTGTCTCTGGTGAATCCGTTCATGCCCTGCACCTCTATCCTGTACCCCAGTTCTTCTGTGCATAAATAAGTAAATCTTTAAAGAAAAAAAAAAGAGAGAGCGAGCGAGCAAGACTCCTGCAGAAAAGGAAACTTATACTCTGGTTAGTCCCAACCCAACTTCCTCAAATTTGCCCATTTTCTCCCTACAGGGCACACTAACAGACCAGAAGTCCTGGGGTAGGCCTTGGAGTCTGGGTTTAATGAATCGGAATGAATCCAATCCCAACTCCCTCAAGGGCAGCCATATCTCAGAACTAGAAAGGGAGAGGCCCTGAACCTCCCACCAAATAGTCCCTTACCTAATGTGGGCATTTGTCAACCAGCTAACAGCAGGATGATGCAAGAGACCTTCTCAATGCAGACAGGATGGAGCCCCAGGAAGAATTTCATCTCCCAGGGGGCCAGGAATTGAGAAAGGTTGGACAAGGCAATAACACCTCAGGTTGGCTTGCTAGTCTCCAGGTCCTTCTAGCCTCAAAGCAAAATGTTTCTGTCCTCCCAAGTACATACCATAGGGGGCACAGCATCCAGGCACAAACTGTAGGGGTCGGGGGGATCAGCTGCAACTCAAGACCTCTGATGTCTAGTAGGAGAATCCCAAGAAATCTCACAAGGAAACTCAGTGCTTTGGCAGGAAGTCCTCCCCCTGTTCCAGAATCTACTGTGGCTCCCTGTTGTCTCAGCATCACTTTTTGACTGCTGCCTCTAACTTATCACCTCTTTTGGGCAATCACCTCTTCCAGAATATCCAGCACTAGACACTCCCATGGAGTAGTGTACAGAAGTGTCCACTTTTGCCTAGCACCACGGTGGGATGGGGGGACAGCAAGATCAATAATTCCTCAACTTTCTTCAATGCACTTTATTTCAAACTTCCAAAAAGTATTTCCACTCCTGGCTTTGTTCTCTTTCCAAAGTCTGTGGTAGATTGATCAGTGCTCCCAGGTTATAGCTCTGGACCCACTATATAGTAGCGTGAGGTGTAGGGAGACTAAGTAACATGCCTAGGAGTAGAAACTAATCAGTGAGCAAGTAGGACTGTCTTATAGATTACTTCCCTCCTTTCCCAGGGGCATGGGTGTTACATGGCATGAGTTACCTTTTCCAGTGTGGGGTGGAGAGATTCCTGCAGTGGTTGGACTTGGGAGTTTTCCTTAAACCCCAGCACTATGATGGAGATTTCAGTAATCAAATATTTCTCTTAAGCTTAACCCTGAAGTTCTCCCTTTAGGGCCTTGTTTATTTTAAATTGATTCTGTCAAAAAGCAGAATCTAATGGTTCTTGGAAACCATCTTATATAAAATCCTCATTTTAAATGATTAGGACTTCCTGAAGGTGGCAACTCATGGTCCAAGTAACCTCAAGATCACTACCTTTTAGCAACTTGTTTACTTCTTAAGTATTAACACAAAAGCTCACATTATACAAGCATCCAGTGTATTGCATTTGATCTACACAAGAATTCTATAAGTAGACGTTGTATTATCATCCCTGTTTTTCACACAAGACGAAGAAGCTGAGGCACAGAGTAGAAACATAGATACCCAAGACCTCACAGTTGCTCATGGCAGCTCTGAGCCTGGAACCCAGCTGTGGTAGGCTAAAGTCTATGATTTCTGAGGCCTGAGCTTCCTGGCCAGCTGGCCAGGAACTAGGCATAGAGAGGTACAGTGACTTGCCCACAGAGACAAAGACTAGGGATGGATATAGTGCCCCCTGAGAGGATGAACAAACTACAAAATCTTCTGTTTTAGACAAGCTGGCCATATTAATGAAGATTACCTAGGGGCAAGTAGACTTGAGAGACTGGACACTGACCAGGGTAGCCACTGACTCTTCAGGCTCCAGAACTTCAGACAGGAAGTCAGAGCAGGAATGGAAAGAGGAGCTAAGGTGTGTCTTATTGCAGCTGAAGGAGGGGTTTTGGAGTGAAGGAGCATCTGTTGTCAGCATCTGCTGACGCATGGAAGGCCTCCCAGAGCCCTCAGTAACCCAAGTGACTAAGCTCCCAGTTACATTTTGACAGGAGCTGGATCCAGTTCTCTAGATCTGATGTAAAGAACCTTCACTTTTTTTTCCCTTCCTGATAATGGATCCTCTAAGACCTCCTGATCACCTGTTAATGGGATGAGACATTTAAAAAAAAAAAAGCAAGTTGGTGAATCCTCTCCTTTTCCAGGTGTAGGCAGCCATGGTATTTAGTTAAGAGCCAGCCTTCCTCCTCACAGGGCGGACACCACCTGCAGATACCTGGCCCTGGGTGGGGCCTAGTTCTGGAAGCTAGGAGCCTACACCCTGTGCTCCAGCCCACAGAAGGATAGCAAGCCCCCTGGACCCAACTTCTAATGTGCATCAGTGGACCTGTGTAAGCCACTTGGGTTCTGGCTGATCCCAAGGGACCAAAGTTTGCACTGCTGGCTGAGTTAGGCTGTCTCCTTCTGCCAGAGGGGAAGGGGCTTGTAGTGTCCTGGGTCTGACTTAGAGGAACAGACGGGGCTGGGCAGACTAGGACTTCCGTTCCAGCTTGACTCCTTGAGGATATTGAAAACAATCAAAAAGGGAGGGAGTCAGGAGAGCCCCAAGGAGTCTGATGTCCTGAGGTGACCCTCCTCCCAACTGCTATATAGGACCCTGATGTGCAAGCCCCGCTTGACCAAGAGATCATTGGAGAAATACCTGGGCTGTGAAATCAGGTTGCACAGAAACCCATTTCTTCTTCTGTCTCCACAGCTGATGTGCAACCAGCAGCATTCTTTCAGGCTTTTTCAGCATCCTTCTCAGGTGGCCTGCCAGGTCCCCCAGAGTCCCACAGGCCTACCAAGGCCAGGATCTCCTCAGGTCTCACAGCCACATGATCATTCCAAGGGAGAGCTGGACTAGAATCTGCCTCATGGCTTCTGGACCTTTGTAGCATTTTGTCTATCAGCTACTTCTGCTGTGTTCCCTCCACCTCCCATCCTAGTGTTTCAACCAGTGCACTGGACAGAGTCCCTTGAGGTTGAATCAGAGACTTCCTGGAGACAGTGGTACCAAGAGGAGGGAGTTGTATATGGCTAGCAGTGAGAGACATCCTTATAAGGTGAAAAGGCATGCCAAGCATAAATAAGGTGCAGAGATAGGAGAAAGAATCAGAGACTTGGAGGAGTCTGAGTGGTTGAGGTGTATCTGGTAGCCTGAGGCCTGGAAGTAGGGGAGGGTGCAGGGCTGTGGGTGTGAGATGGAGTCCATCCAGACTCTGGGCCCTGACTCCAGGCCAGAGCATGTGTGAGCTCCTGAAGGCAGAGAGATGAAATGGCTAAGTCAGTGGCTTGAATGAGCCCCTGGACAATGAGGTGGAAGGTGCACTATGATCTGGGGGAGAGCCTGGAACCTAGAGAAGATGAAGCCTGGAGGTTTTGGGGGTACTTCAGAAGAGAGAAGGTAGTAGGAAGAATCAGCAGGGGCAGTGGCAGTAAGTGAGAGGGGAGCCTCCCCAAGAAGAAGAGAGATAGCTTTCAGTAATGCTGAAGCACCATCCAGCATAATTGAGGGCCGGGGGCTCACTGGAGACGAGGTGTAATAATGGTAGTCTTAAATTTTGAGACAGACCAGGTAGTTTTTGTCTATGATACCTGATAATCTTAAGAGGGAATGTGAGGACTACAAAGACAAACAGTCCAGGATGTAACTTGGAAAGTGCTCCCTGTCTATAAAGAAAGGGTTCCTGGAGGCGGCTGAGAAGTCCCCAAGCATGTAGGGGGGAGACCAGGAGAGCAAAAGGGGTATGTTTTAGGAAGAGAGAGGGGGTACCAACCTTTGCATAGAGATTAAAAGAGGTCACCAGACATTGTATGGTTAGCAAGCCTCTAGAGTTCTTGAGTATGAAAAGAGAATGTTGAAGACAGAGGACTCCACCACAGGCTCAGAGGAGCCAGTACAATAGGCCACATCTTGTGGGGACCAGTGACATTTTAATTTTTATTTACTTACGTATACAAGAACTGGGGTGTAGACCAGAGGTGTGGGAGGTGAGAGGATTCACAGGAGACAGGGTGGGGAGCAGAACAGGCAGATATACTGAAATACACTGTGGAGGGAAGCAGTAGGTAAGACAGGAGAGGTCTGGTGCACCACATGGGTCAGCTCCATGGCCAGAGATTCAACTCATGTCGCAGTGGCTGGAGATAGCTTGATAGCACTGAGACTTAACTCCTATGCCACCAGGGAGGCCTTGGTGACATTTTTAGACTGAGAAAGATCATGGAGAAGAATCCAGGAGGGGGGACACATAGAGCTGAGCCCCTGAACTTCCTTGGGACTGGCCAGATAGGTGAGTCTCTAGATAAGGGTAGTGATGTTACTGTTACTCATGCATTAAATTTCAGCTGAATGTCTACTGGGTGTCAGGTAGTACCAGTGCTGGAGACTTAGAAATGGGTCACAGTGAGAGGAGTAGGACAGGTACCTGGCTCTCTTTTTCTTCTGGAAGGCTCAACTTCACTTTTTTATTCATTCATCCACCCATTTATTGATGTTAAACCCTCTTGAGCAACATAAGCCTCTGAGTAGTGTGGGGCATCAGAGAGGCCAAGACTTCACTGGGGGGATGGAGAAACCATTTCTTCACCTTGCGCATTAGCAGACTGTGTCCACTATCCTGCAAGTTCCCTGAGGCAATAGTAGGGGCTGAGGTAACTCCAGCCCGCACTCTGGCAGGTGGCCAGTGATGGGTGGGCCAGGAAGGCTCCTGGATGGGCATCACGCTCAGGATGGGCATAAAGGAGGGCCCTACTAGCTGGAAGGAGGCAGACTCGAGAGCCATGGAGAGCCAGAGGGATCGCTCTTCCCTGGGGTGGTGGTCGCTGGTGCTACTGCTGCTGGGCCTGTTGGTCCCCCCGGCTACCACCCAGGTCTTCAGCTACCAGGAGGCAGTGCTCCGTGCCGTGGATGGCCTCAACCAGCGGTCCCCAGATGCTAATCTCTACCGTCTCCTGGAGCTGGACCAGAAACTCCAGGGAGTGAGTCTGGGGTATCTGCTCTCTTGGTTGGGGGCAGGGAGATCTGAGAAAGCAAGAATGAACCTGAGCTGGTCTCTCTACTTCCTCCACTGACCAGGATGATGACCCAAACACCCCAAAGCCTGTGAGCTTCCTGGTGAAGGAGACTGTGTGCCCTTGGACGACACAGCAGCCACCCGAGCAGTGTGACTTTAAGGAGAATGGGGTGAGGCTGGGGGTCAAAGGCTAGAGGACTGGGGTGTGCCTCCTAAGGAGCTGAACAACAGGCTGGTGGGGGACATATGCAGTCACTGGGAAGATGCTGATTGTTAGAGCACCCGTTTGACCTCAAGTCTCTCCCTAGCTGGTGAAACAGTGTGTGGGGACAGTGACCCTGGACCAGATGAGGGGCTCTTTTGACATTAGCTGCGATGAGGTGAGTGGTTCGTTCTGGGTTGCAAAGGCTGATAGGGGTGGTGGTTAATTAGCCACTGCCCCAGCTAGGGAGAAGCCCCTGTTCTAGGCTCTTCCATCCACCTGAGCTCTAGGTGTCCGGGGCTGGCTTTGGAGCAGTGTTTCTCAAAGTGCAGTCCTTACCTGGGAACTTGTTAGAAATACACATTCTTAGACTCCACTCAGACCTACTGAATCAGAATGTGGAATGGGGTGCAGAAATTCACTTTTTAACAAGCTCACCCAGGAGTTGTGCCTCCTACTGAGCTCTGAGCCATTCACTTAGAATCAGGAGGTTTTAGCCCATGCTCCCTCAAAGTATGGCTGAAATGGGCTGTGTGACCCTGAACAACCCCTTGCCATTTCTGGGCCTCAATCCTCATCTGTTTCTGGATATGAGGATTCAGCCACATGCTCCAAAACCCACAGCCAGAGGGTGAAATGTAGCCCCAAGGATTCTGGAGCAAAGCTGGGATAGCTCTGAAGGGGATGTTTAGGTTGGGAGGGGTCTTGCCTGGCCCTGGGTCAGCCCTCACAAGGAATTTGTTTCTTCCTGGTGCACAGCCTCAAAGTGTCAAGCTATTTGGAAAAGTGGGTGATTTCCTTAAAAGAGGTGGGCAGAAGATTGGTGAAAAGATTGAGAAAATTGGCAAGAGGATCAAGGATTTTTTCCAAAACCTTAAGCCCAGGGAAGAGGCCTAAGGTCTGTTTTGCCCTGGCTCAGACTTCTGAAATCTGAAAAATAAATTCTTGTGAAAGCAACTTCTTCCAGGCTTCAATTTCACTGGACTTGCTATCATTTACCATCACTTGTCCTTAACTCTGGCAACGTGTGTGTGTGTGTGTGTGTGTGTGTGTGTGTGTAAAAAGGATGAGTGGAGGCCCCTCCTCTGTTTAAGAGGGTCTGGCTAAGAGCTAAAAACTCTAGGACAGTGTCTGCATTCCCAGGATCCCTCTCCATGCCCACCACACATCTCCTGCTCTTCCTATACTGAACACCAGTTGGGACTTCAGGAGATCTACTCTATAGGCAGCAGGAGAGGGGATGCTGTGGACTTGTTGCTGCTCATATGGAGGTGACAGCGGGGGAGAGCAAAGATCCCACCCAGGGTTGGCCTGCCAGCACAATGCCCATAAAATTCTAATTTCCCTTGAAAATGTTAACTCTGGGTAAACCTATAGCTCCTGACTTTTCCTCTGGTTTTGGAACACATCAATGTTTCTTCAGCTAGGGAGCAGATGAAAGTTGTGGGTTTGTGTTTCAAGTGATACAAATATTTTGAATCTTTTTTTTTTTTTTTTGAAATTTATTTTGAATCTTTTAAAGTAAGAATCCTGGGGCCTCCCTGGTGGTGTAGGGGTTAAGTCTCAGTGCTGTCAAGCTATCACCAGTCACTGTCTGAGTTCAATCCCCGGCCAGGAAGGTGACCCACATGGCACAGCAGACCTCTCCTGACCCGCCCACTCTTACCCTCAGCAGTGTACTTCATCGATCTGCCTGTTCTGCTCCCCACTCTGTCTCTGGTAAATCCCCCCCCCCCCACTTCTGGCCTATACCCCAGTTCTTGTATGCATAAATAAATAAATCCTTATAAAACAAACAAAAAAACAAGGTGTTTCAGACATTATCCATGACATGCCCACTGGTCATTCTGTAGCTGACCAGCAGCATTTACGGTTCTTTGCTCCAAGGCAGACCGGTAGGACTAGGAAATCTGAACTCTACTAGTAGCCTCAACTTACAATTTGTGGGAGCTGGTGGGAAAAGATGTTCTCTTGTTTACCCATTGGACTTTAAGGTGTATCAGGCCTTTCCTAGAGACCCCCACTTGGCCCCCAGTTGAATCATGCCCCTGTTGCCCACATCGGTAAGAGATGAGGGTAGGGAGGTATGGACTAGTTTTGAGCATGCTTGTTCTGAAGTGGCATCACAATGTTGGTCCCTGGGCAGGACCCTGGCAAGAAGAGCTGCTATGGTGCTCACGGTTAGTCCTCTGCTCAGCTCCCCTAGTCTGGGCTGCAGCCACCACACACCCAGCTGTTTGGAATGTCTTAGTAGTGGCTAATAGCTCTTATAGCTGCTCTCTTCACATCTGCCTTTACAGTCTCCCTATAGAAGCCTGGGGGGGGGGAGGTCCCCTCTGCTAGCAGTCTATACACAATGAGGGGATATTAAAGCCCCAGTTCCCAGTTGCTTGCCACAAACTGGGACTAAAGGAGTAGTATGATTTGGATTCTGAGGCTCATTGTTTAGGGTCAGGCTGAAGCTGATATGATAGACCACAACCTTGTTCAACTCCTTCTTTTGCCTGTCCTGTTTCTCTCACCTTCCTCCTCCTCCCTCAAAAACAAACAAACATAGGTGTCAGGCCCTCCTTCTAGAGAAGCCAGTCCATGATGGCAGAGGACTAAGTGGGAGCTTTGGAAAGCCCCTCCTGCATATCTTAGGTGGGTTTAGCTGCTGGGGACTGGTATGGAAATAAGCAGAGAATGCCAGAGGTCTCTATGGTATGGGGAGAGGGAGGTTGGGGGCTTCAGGTCAGTTCTGTAAGCCCAGGAGAACTGAGGATTTTAAAAAGTAGCTGGAATACTACAGGAGACCAAGAAGCCCAGGAGAGAACTTATAATGGTTCCTCATGGTTTGGGCAAGTATTCAGTGGAGGGCAGCCTCAGTGGGTTAGTGGCACAGAAAGGAACTACAGAGAGAACAGGTAAGGGAGGCAGGAAGCAATGAGTGTGGGTAAGGAGAGGGCCTCTCTTGGCTCCCCAAGCCCTGCTATGCCAAGGAGGAAGGCTGGGCTTGTTATTAGGCAAGGTATATGTGGACCCTGTCCTTGACCATCTCCTCTGAGGGCTCAAGATTTAGTTTGGAGGCTTTCTAGAGGGGATAGGGCACTTCAAGTCAGCCTCAAAAGGGCAGAGGAAGAGAATTCTGAGGACTCTAGAAGTCTGAGAGCAATTGTTCTTGTGGCTGTGTGGCCTTGGGCAGGTAAATTCACCTTTCTGGGATTCAGTTTCCCTATCTGTAAATTGAGAATGACACAACCTTTAAGAGATTGGTCTAAAGTTTTAGTTAGGTAAGGAAGGTAAAGGGCTTCAAAGGGGAATGACTGAATCAGAGAGAATGAGGGACACAAAGGAGACCCAAGTCTGGGTCATTCTCAAGGCACAGTGCTAGGGATTACCTGTCAGAGCAGAGGCTGAGAAATACAGTTGGAATTGCATCAGAGAAGTTAGATAAAATACAGCATCTCCACACAGACCACACTTCCCTGATTGTCAAAAACTGGCCAGAATGTCCAGAGATCTCTCCCATTTGGCCTTTAAAAGAGCAGCTGGAGTGGCAGGTTTCAGATTTCTTCTGTTTTGAATGAGATTAGTGCCAGTCAGATTTCAAAAGTTCTGTTCTCCATGACTTTGGGCTTTTGAGCATCAGCCTAAGGGAGCTGAGGGATGCCTTGGTTTCTGGTGTCTCACCTACATGCCCTTGTTCCCTTGTGTGCTACCCTTCCTTTGTGTCATGCCTGGCTAGAGCAGGACAGGATGCTGGCAGAAAGGATAAGGAGCAAGTCACAAATAAAAGAAATGAAATGCTTACCTTAAATTGCTGTACCTCAAAAAAATTTTTTTAACATTTTACTTTGCAATAATTTCAAATACAGAAAAGAAGCAAGAATAAAAAAAAAAAGTATATTCTCTTCACACAGTCTTGTACAGTTCAATTTCTACTGATCAGTTTTATCCTTCTCTTCCTGCCTCAGCTCTCCTCACCTTACACTGTTTTAAAACAGGATGCTGGTTTCATTCAGGTGTGCTAAGATCAACCTATCAGGAGACCATTGCCATTGAAAGGACAGTTCACTATCATCTTTTCCTTCCCAGAGGTGCTGGGCTTGCCACCCCATGCTGGGTTATAGGAGAGCTCATCACTGGCAGAGGCAAGCCTTTATTAAGGTTTTTGAGGGAAGGAATGGGCTTGGCAGGGTAAGTGGGCTGACCAGTTTTAGGACTGGGCTGATTTAAATAACTTTAGTGGGTGAGGGGTGTAAGGGCTGGCCCAAATTGTCAGGATGCCATACCCTGGGGTGATTAGGACAGGGGGTTAAAGTCTTACAAGCATGGGAGGGTGTGGAGTATGGGGGTGGGGGATGGTTAGTTTGCATATGAAAGGCCTGCTGCAGGGCTATCCGGAAGAAGCCACCAATCCTGGGAGGGGTAGTCATTCCAGGCCTACAGGATCACAGATCTGAAAACATCCTATTCACAAACTAGAAAACTGATCTATACAGGCTGCTTGTAGTTAATGTATTCATTGATATGTTTGGATTATAACCCTCATATGTCATAGTTATTTCTCATTCAGTCTATATTTTCAAAAGGACAGATTTATTAGCAAAAGGAGAAAGAAAATAAAAGACATTTGCATACACACAGTTATGCAGTCCTGGTAGGAAAGCTGCCTTTTTCTGTGTTCTTTTGGGTTGTCTTTATGATTTTGTTTTATGTCCACTTTGGTTTACTATTTATTTGGTTTACTGTCCTCTAAAATATTTTTAGGTAGTTGGCCTAGGTTTAATTCTATCTTCTTTTATCTACACTCAGCAGGAGTGACTGATAAGTCATGTGAACATTCAGAGACCAGTAGGCCAAGTAAAGTTTTTGAACAATGTGGGTGGATTCACAAAACTAAATGCCTCTGGCAGTCAAAGAAAAATTGCTGCCATTCTACAAAGTAAAGAACTCTATGTTTCTGGTTTTAAAAATTTAGCTGGGTGGCAAATTCACGTTAAATGCTGTTCTTATTTTCCTTACAATTAAAAAAAAAGCCCCAGCCCTCCCTGGTGGCGCAGCAGGTTAAAGGACAGCACTGAGAAGCTAAAGCCACTTCCGCATGAGTTCAATTCCCCCCCCCCAGAAGTGACCCACATGGCGAGGCAGACCTCTCCTGACCCGCCTGCTGCTCCCCTCAGTGTACTTGTCTGCTCCCCACTCTGTCGCTGGTGAATCCTCTCACCAACCCTGCACCTCTGGCCTGTACCCTAGTTCTGTATGTATAAGTAAATAAATATTTAAAAAAAAAGGAAATAAAAAAGCTGAAAAGACATTTCTCCCGAAAAGATTTACAGATGGCCAACATATACATTATAAATATGCTTCACATCACTAATCATGAGGAAGAATTTAATTAAAACAACTAAAACGAGATATTTCCCTGTGCTTGTTAAAATGGTTGTCATCAAAAGGATGAGATAACAAAAAGCTTGTGAACTGCTGCTTAAGAGAAACGCTCCAGGGATGTGTCAGGAGAAATACATGAAAATATCTATTTCTACAATAGATACCCTATAGCAATGAACACAAATGGATTACTGGCTAGCATTATAAAAACTTTAAAATAAGCTTAACTTAATACTCAAAATCATGGAAAACAATATATTTTGCTCAGGGATACCAGTTGTTAAAAAAAAAAAAAAAAAGTGAGCCTAGGGGAAGCCTGAGGGTTAAGCGGCCCTGGGCACTCTCACCCTGTGCCAGACACCTCTGCAGGAAGGGGCCATCTCCCTGCAGGCTGTACACTGCTATGAGCTTTCTTCCTTCTGGAGCCGCCTGTGGCCTTGAAAGTGCAGCAAAAGCCTCCAGCAAGCACTTTGCTTATGGGTTATCATGCTAGCCCAGGCACAGGTGTGGACCCTGCGGGCCCAGGCTCAGCTCCAGGGCTGGGCCGTGGACCATGAGTCAGGCTGCAGAGGCGGGTAGCCTGAGGAAGGACCAGGGTGAGAGGAAAGTGATCGTCACACTGGTCACCATGCACTCCTACCCCTCAGGCACAGAGTCCACCTGAGTCTGACTTCAGTTTATGCACTAGATGAGGGAGTGAGCGGAGTGAGCGCTGTGCACGGAGCTGACAACCTCTAGCTTCTGCTCTTCTCATAGTTGTGGGTGCTGGGTGCTGTGAAATTACCTCCCTCGGGTTCTGCTACGCTGTCCAAGGTGCCCTTCTGTCGCTGGCCAGAGCTGTGCTATCCCACTTAGCACTGGCGACTGGAGCACTTGAGTTGTGGCCAGTGTTACTAAGGAACTGCACTCTTAATTTCACTTATTTTTAATTAATTTGTAACTAATACTGAAGAAGTCTAAAGTACTTTCTCACCCATCACAAGTTTGTTTTGGTAGGGCTATGTTTCCCTTTAGCCTTCAAAAACTTAGCATAGATATTGACATGTGCTGGGCCAAAGTTTATAACCTTAGTTGTCTTCATACTCTCCTATATTCTTAGCCTGTCTCTCATCCTCTGGACCCCCGACTTCCCCACATTTTAGAAGGGCAGGTTTATCAGGAAAAGGAGAAAAAGAGGAACCTGCATCATCATAGACAGGCAGGAGGGTTTCCTCTTTCTTTTGGCAAAGAATTAGAGACTTTAAATAAATTTGTATTTTATCTGTCTTTCAAAATGTCAACTGCCTTTGGAATTTCCCTAAACCTGCTATAATTTTTAAGCCACAAACCTAAAGGAATAATCTACAATCATTATTCCCATTTCCTTAAATCCAACTCCTCTATTTTCTTGCAATTTTTCAGGTAAAGGCTCACCTAAAAATCCAGGATGAAAATTCCTTACACTGGAATTATTTAGGGAGACATTTGTTTAATTAAAAGGTGCCCCTTCCTCTAGAATTCAGCCCACAGGTACAGCTCTAGGGTTGGGTGCCTTTGTGCACTGCCTAAGCTGCACTTGGCATGAGCCTGCTCACAGCTTTCTACAAAATTTCCTCTTCACTTAACACAGACCTGAAACTTGGCTTCAGGGCAGATTTAACAGCTTCCATTAAGGATAGAAAGCACCAAAGTAGGGCTCCTACCCTTGGGGATTTAGTAGACTTTTATTGAAGAAGATAGAGCAAATGTTGCTGACACAGAGTCACTGCATTGTTTAGGCAACGTACTCCTTGAGGAAGGATGAACAGTTCTCAGCAAAGAAGCGCCGTTGTCCCTCTGACCACCCATGAACATTTCAGAGGAGAGGTAGATAGACAGCCAGATTCTGGAGGAGTTGGCAGTGAGTCTCCAGGGCTGGGAGTGGTGCCCAGTAGAGATGGTATCAAGAGACCTAGGATTTCCTGGTCCAAGGAAAATGTCCTATGCCAGAGGTCTATAAGAAAATGTCAGGCAATCTACTGGTCTTTACAGGCTGACAGGCCTGCATCAGGCTGGTCCTGGGCCTCCTGTTCCGGCTGCACAGTGGATGCCTCCCTCTGGACTGTAGCGTACAAGGCCACAGCGCAACTGGGGCTCCTCTTCCTCATACCAGCGCTGTTCACTGAAGTCAGGGAAGAAGGTTGCAATCTCTCTACTGGCTGAAACCACAGAGTCTGTAAAGGGAGGCAATATGGAGAAAGGGTTCTCTCATAGGGAGTGCAGGATGACAGCAAGAGGCAGTCATAACTAGGTTCAGAAAGCAAGGCCTCTACTTCTGTCTGCCTCATAGCCCTAGAGCAGTTAAAGAAAGTGTTTAGGCCACAACGGGCCAGAAATACAATTAGGAAGGAAGTTCAATGGAGGGACCTGGCTCTCAGCCCCATAATACACCTGCCCATCAAACTATCTTCCCTTTTTTATGGTTATTATCAGGGAGGAAGACTCACCAGAGCCATGGGTGGTGTTGCGGGTGTCCGTGAGGCCAAAACTTCCACGAATTGAATCTGGGGCCATGTGGCGTGCTCGAAACACTCTGGTGGGTCCCATCATCATCCTCCAGAACTGGATGGCATCCTTGCGGGCCAGGATATAGGCACGGATTGGCCCACTGTGAACAAAAGAAGCACATGTCAAGAATGTGCTTATCTAGTCTAAGAAGGCACCTCGTGAGCAGAACACAAATAAAAGCATGCTATGCATTCTGGATTTCCTTGCCTTTCTAGCTGAGAACCAATGTGACTTTAAGCAGGTGATGAAGGGCTCTGTGGATACTCAAGAAAGATCACAGAGATCAACAGAATTGCTAGGGAACACTCAACAATTCTGCACTTATTTGATCAGCAACCATGATGGGACAGGAGGTCAGCAGGCCAGTGTTGGCTTGGTCAGAGCTCTAAGCCTATGTTTTTTCAGATACTTGGCACTGATTATAACTTTAAAGTGGTAAGTGAAATAAATAAGTGTATTTAGGGGGCTGAGGAGATAAGTCTCAGAAGATAAAAATGCTGGAGCCAAAGTAGAAGTACTTGGGCCATCATGGTGGCCTAGGGGTTAAGTCTCAGTGCTATTACAGCTATGGCCAATGTTTGATCCCTGGCCAGGAGCTGACCCACATAGCACAGCAGACCTCTCCTGTTTTGTCCACTGCTCCTCTCAAATGTGTAGTTCAGTAGATCTGCCTATTTTGTTCCCCACTCTGGTGAATCTTCTCACCCTTCACACCTCTGGCCAACACGCCAGTACTTACGTGTAAACATTAAAAAAAAAAAAAAAGAGTTTCTAATTAAAATTCTTAAAGAAACAAACAAAAACTAGACGTACCTGGCCATGAACTCAACCAATCGCTGATAGAAAAAACGCCCTGCAAAGAGAGAGAATACCTTCATCAAGACACTGGTGCCCAAGAGGCCTTTTTGTACTTGTGCCTCTTTACTTGAAAAATATAATCTTTTAGAGGGAAGAACGAGGACCTTGGAGCCTGATAACCTGGGTCTAAACCCAGGCTCTGCCACTTACATCTGTGCAGTTTGGGATAAGATAATTTTCCTAACTCAGTTTCTTAATCTGTGGAGTACTGACAAAACAATCTCTACTTCATACGGCTACTGGGAGAACTAAATGAAATCATGAGCATCAGGACAATGCCTGACAGAGTACACACTCACAAAATGTTACCTACTGATATTATCAAAACATAAAATTAAGCTTCTGGCTGGAACTGTAAGGTAGACCCTTCCTAGGATCTTTTTTCAAATCCTGATAATCAGAAAAGTTTGTATGTAAATAGAGAAGATTGACAGCACTTCTACAAGTAGCAGGTCAGAGAATTTGCTATTGTGTGTAAAAATCTCCCTTGCACACCTCTTGAGACAGAGAAGTCTCCCATTCAGAGGGAAGCTGATCCTACCTTCATGCTCTTGGTAAAACCTCTGGCAATCTTCTTTTCTCCACAGAAGTTCTTTCATTCGTATAATAAGGAACTTGTTGCTCAGAATCTGCTGATGAACAGCCTGGATAAACACCACCCAAAGACAAATTAGTCAAAGGTACAGGAGGTCCGGTATGATTAAAAGAACCACAAGAACCCCCTGGAGCCCAGGACCTGAAGGTCTGTCCCGGTAGTTCAAAAGGAAAAGAAATAGGGTGAAGTAATGACCTTCTGTAATAGCCAGAGTGTGATCCTCAAGAGAGGGGTGGGCAGGAAGTGCTATTTTGCCCTCCATTCCTATATTCCATGAGCTCAAGAACAAGGGAACATCACTTGGACACTCATAAAAAGGTCTTGATAGTGTTCCTGCCTTGAGTTTCTCACTCTCCAAGTTATCAGAATTGATATATTAAAAATTCCACAATTTATATGTCACACTGGGGTCAGAAGTTTTTGAGTAGGAATGCAGTGCCATTGCTTTAGTCCAGTGCTCACAGCGGCACTCAGACCCACCGCATACTGTCCATTTTCTATTCTCTAGTGCCCCAACTCAGCTTGCCTATGGCACTCAGACCCACCGCATACATTCCTGACTTGCATCTCCCTTCTGTGGAACACCTACCATCCCACACACTAACCAAAGTCCCTTCTTTTGCAGCCTGGCTTAGTCCCGGCACTGCAGGCCACCACCTCTAACTACTTTGGTCTTCTCTGCTTCACAGAGGTCTTACTCAGCAGTGTTGCTCACCTAGTACTAATCAACCTACAGGAGGCAGAATGCTAAAATGACCTTCACCCAGCCTTACTCAGTTCTAATCTTTAGGACTATGGATGTGATACAATATGGTTGTTATATTACATGGCAAAAGGAATTTTGCAAGTGTAATTAAGGTGACTAATCAGTGATTTTGTTTTAAAAGGGAGATTAGCCAGATTGTCCTAATTAATCATATACTCTTTAAGAGCAGAATTTTATCTGTCTGGAAGCTAAAGGAGAAGTCAGAGGGATTCGAAGCATGAGAAAAGCATCCTTTGATGCAATGTTGTCGTCCTTTTTTTTTTAAGATTTACTTATTTATGCATACAAGAGCTCAGGTGTAAGTCAGAGGTGCGAGGGAGGGTGGAGTGAAAGGATTCACCTGAGACAAGTAGGGAACAGAACAGGCAGATTCACTGAAATACACTGCTGCGGGGAGCAGCAGGTGAGACAGCAGACATCTGCTGTGCCACATGGGTGGCTGTGGATTGCTTCATAGTGCTAAGACTTAAGCCACCAGGGAGGCTCTGTTGCTGTCCTAACGATGTAATAGGCCATGTAATAAGGGATCTGAATTGTTTCCAGAAGAGTAGAGCAGTCCTCACCTGAAAGTCGGCAAGGAAATGGGGACCTTACTCTATAGTCACAAGGACCAAATCCTAGCAAAAACCTGTATGTGTTTGGAAGTGGATTCTTCCAGAGATGTCCAAATAAGGGTTTTGTTAGCTGATACCTTGACTTTGGTCTTGTGAGATCCAAAGGAAAGAAGACAATTCAGTCTACTTGACCCGTATATTTCAGGATTGTGAGAGAATAAATGAGTGCTGTTTAAAGCTGCCAATTTTACGGTAACTTGTTATGCAGCAAAAGGAAACTGTCTTGAGGCTTAGTTCTCATTGTACTATATATTTTCGCACATTCTATATCAGCTCCAATTCTTCAACAGATTTCTAGCTCCCACAGCATCTAGCACAGGACTATGTGATGAGTCTTCACCTATGGCCTTAAGCAGAAGCATGCAGGAGACACTTAGGGTTTGTTCTCACCTCCAGAATCAGTGGGTGAGCGACAGCATCAGGCTTGATCAGGGCCAGAGTGAGCTGGAGAGCCTGAGGGCTTCGCAAGATTGAGGTCATCTCACTCCTGCCATCAGAGAGCTGGATTAGGGATGCATCAGCACTCTACTCCCCCCCACTCTGGAACCATACAGCCTTGTAAATTGGCCAGTCCCTCCACTCTTGAGATGCGAAAAAACATAAGACAGTTATATAGTAAAGCTGTAAACATTACTGGATTTAATTGCCCATTGCATTTAGGGGACTTGTGAGAAGGGAATAAGAGAGGGTGCTTTCTTCCAACTTAAAAGTACATAATCTGGTTTATTACTGTTAACCAACAAAGCAGTTATCCCTCCAAGAGTGTAGATACTACCTCTCTTTGCCAATATTCCCTTCCCTTCCTAACTTTCCTTTGTATTTTACAAAGGATTTACAATATATATACCTAGACAGCCTGATCATTAGGGTGCAATAACTGTTTCCACACTTAAGGCCCTCTATCTCAGTGTTCTCCCATCAGTTCTAGAACTGGAAGATTGGATGGATAAGAATCAGATGTTGCCAAAATATCAAAAAGTCTGTTGAACACATGCTATTTCTTATCTAATCATAGAGAGAGACCAGGATCTCCCCTATCTATAGTGGCGAGGCTTAAAGATATACATGGAACTCAAAAGTCAGGAACTAGTTGTAACCATTTTGCATCTGAAGCAGTTAAAACTGCCTGGATTATAATTTAGTCAACTATATAGACTAAATGAATCCATACAGTCTTATCCTACTTTTTAAATAATTCTAGTAGTTATAAGAGTTGAATAAATAATTGTGGAACTGACACAATGAACACTGAAGTATTTTATACAATGGACTAAGAATGCATTCTTTTCCAACCGTGAAACGCTACTTATATGTGAGAAATCGATCACCTGTATTGAATTAAGAACTACGCCTCAAAGGATTATTGGCAGAGCCCCTAAATTTGCCAATAAATAAAGAAGGCTTCCATAAACACACACAGACAGGCTCATTTTTCTAGGCCTGAATTTAACTTGAAAGTTATGTTAGATAGGGTGCTAGGGACTGGTTCAAACAAAGAAACTCTCCAATGTTTCATCTACTCATGTCCTTCCTACAACTTTCACCTTGATGACCTACTCAAACCACAGAGCTAAGCCCAGTCTAACCAGTACAAGATCAACCAACTCAATCTCCCCCATATCCAAGTGGTGAGTCTTTGCCATATACTTAGGGAGAGACAGCCTTGACATTTCCCTTCTCTCACCTTCCATACCTACACTATCACCAATTTCTAGAATTTTTACATACCCAATATATCTCAAATCCAAACAACTCTCTCCCTCTCAAGTGTCACTACGCTACTCCAAGACATCATCATCTCCCCGGCCCCTAGGCTTCTGCATCAGACTCCTTAATGAATCTGTTGTACTGTTGGAGAGTATTTGCCACCCTCCACAATCTGTTCTCCATGCATCAGCCAGAATGAACTAAAAAGCAAATCGAATTATATATCATTCCCCTCCTTAACCCTTTAGCATGTGCTTTAATGATAAAACCCAAATCCTTTACAAGGCCCACAAGACTTTGCATCTTTTGATTCCTGCCTATCTCTCTAGCCTCCTCTAGGACCCCACACTCCTTAATATTCTTTTTACTCCAGCCCATGGGCCTTACAGGTGCAAGAATTTTTGACTTGTCTTTGTGAGATGGTTCTGCAGTCCAAACAGTGTGCTGCCTTTGGTTACCTCCTACTCATACACTAGACCTTGGCTCATCTCTCCCATTATATTTTCTTGTGGCTTCTTGCACGTTTTCCCCACTGGTCAGTTCCATGAAAGGAAGTCTGTTTTGCTTGTCATCATATCCTTAGTACCACACAGTTTCTAGTGTAAAGTTGGTGTCCACAGTATTTGTTGAATCTACTAATGAATAAACTTGCTTTTCCAAGGCCAGGCTGATAGGGGTTTTCAAGCAAGGGATGGATGTTGTTCCTTTCTTAATGCCATCTAAGTTATAAGTTATAGCCGTCCTAGCTAGGCTTCCTGTTTTTTTAAGATTTCTTTTACTTATTTGTACATACAAAAACTGGGGCATAGGGGCCAGAGGTGCGCAGTGTGTTTGTGTGTGTATGTGTGAGAGGATTCACCGAGACAGAGTGGGGAGCAGAAAAGTCAGCTCTATTGAAATACACTGCTGAGGGGAGCAGCAGATGAGGCAAGAGAGGTCTGCTGTGCCATGTGGGTCACCTCCCTGGCCAGGATCGAACTGATGATAGCCTGATAGCGCTGAGACAGAGAGGCCCCTAGCTCGTGGTTTTTCACAAATGCTGACAAGTCCAAAAACTCAACGTAAAGATCACTCCTTCAACACATTACTAACTTTGGAAGGTTATGGGACACTTTACTACACACATTTCTCTGCTTCCAGGAGGGCAGCGGCCAAGTCCCTAGTCCAGCCCGGCGTTGGGGAGATCTGCTGCCCCTCAATTACGCCACGGACCCTGAGCGCCTAAGGTCCGGGTGTCCAGTCCTACACGCTCACTGCCTCAGACCGTGACACGGACCCCTGCCCCCGGCTACCATTCCATTCCTCTAGGCCTGAGGTCACGCAACCCCACCCCGAGTAACCCCGGCAAAAGCTCACTCTGGATTCCGGCTACGCGCAGCCGAGTCCCGCTGGAGTTCGGTCCGGGATTCACCTGGTCCTCCCACCGCAGCGCGGACCGCCAGGCACCGCGCTAGCTGGCCTGTGGGCACCAGCGGGATCCTGCAGGCATCGGCTGGGCGCCCCGACTCGGGGGTCCTCGTCAGGGACCCGCGCAAGAGCCCTAGCAGAGTGCGGTGCCCAGTGAGTCCTGGGCAGTGCCCGAGCTGCTCCACCAGGCCCCGACAGCCCACAGCAGGAGGGAAGACCGGGTCTCCCTCCCAAAGGATGGCGTTGAGTCGGGCGCCCATCCCCTCCGCCCAGGTCGCGCGCCCTCAGGCGGCACGGAGGACCAGCGGCGCCCGCGCGGACCGCACGGCGGGGGCCAGTGCCTGCTTTGGGGCCGCCGGGCTGGAACTTAACCAACTCGTTCGCTTTATGCTTTGTCTAGGGTAGTGCTGGGACGTGGTGCCCAATATTTGTCCGAGTTACTTGGAGAGTAAAGAGCACGCTTTCTTGATCACGAGGGCAGAGGCAGCTGCTGAAAATCATCGAGCTTGGGGCGATAACCAAACACCAAGATGCACAATTGATATGGGGTTGGTGAGGGAGGATCCTTGTTGGGGGTCCAGGTGTACATAAGGAACGAGGGACACTAGTCGGAAGGGCATACTGAAGAATTGGGGCACAAGAATGTGGGGTGACTTACTCTGGAGTTTAATAACAGGCCAGGTGAAAAAATGAGACCTGAATGTATTTAGTTCTTGTGTATAGTGTAATACATGAAGGGGGAACAGTTATGGCAGGTTGAATAAGGATGTTAACATTTTTTTCTCTTTGGAAATCACTGTATTGGGGAAGAATGAAAATAAACTATAACTGTTATCCACTAAAACTAAACTAAACACAACTGACTTTAGTGACTACAGATACAGGTGTACTCCAGGAGTGTTGGAAGGAGGGTCTGTGGTTCTGGCACTGTTTTGCACAAGTTGTCTTTAGGAAAGGCCACTTCTCAGCTATGGGAGCTGGTGAAGGCACATATCCAGCCTGCCTTTACAAGATGGAAATAAATTTCCCTTGTGCAACTGACCACACTCTAAATTAAATCTTCTTTGTTTTCTTTCTTTAAGACTTTTTATTTATTTATGCACACAATGACTGGGCTATAGACCAGAAAGGAGGGTGGAGAGAGAGAAGGGAGGAGAGAGAGGAGGGAGGAGAGAGGGAGAGAGAAAGAGTGAGAGAGAGAGAATGAGAACGAGACAGAGAGAATGAAAAAGAAGCAGAACAGGCAGGTTTACTGAAATACACTGCCAAGGGGATGAGAGGGCTAGATGAGAGGTCTGCTGTGCCATATGTGGGTTGGCTCCCTAGAGGGGAAGTGAACTCAGGCTGCAGTTACCATTGCATAATGATAGTATGCTGAGACTTAGCCCCTATGACAACAGGGAGGCCCTAATTTTTATTTTTCAAATGCACCAGGTACAATTTTTGTATTTTACTTTTATCTTCATCAACATATCTCTGAACTATAGGGAGTTTTGCTGATTTTTAGATCATCTTTCTGTCTTACACCCACACTGTGAAAAGACTTTAATATTTTATAGTTGCTTTGTCCATTCTCAACAAAATAAGCACAATAATTAAAAATACTAAAAGTAAGGGCAGGTGTAGTTTTAAAAAAACAGAAATAATCTGATTTTTCTGAATGCAGGCTCAGAACCAGCTGAAATAAAGAAATGGCAGACAGGTGGAGATCAAAGTTGGAGAACTTTGATCTGTTGGAGAACATAACAGAGTCAACATTCAACATAACCAACTTTAAAAGCACCTAAAATGCCTAAACTTATTAGTCCCATTATCACTTTGATTTACATGTGAGTTTGTGATCCCTACTTTTCTTACCTGGTCTTTTGTTTTACATTCCTTGCCAAACATGATGGGGTATCATCTGGACACATATTGTTGAATAAAACTTATCCTTTGGGCCCTCCCTAGTGGCTCAGCAGGTTAAATAAAGCACAGCACTACTTCAGCATGAGTTTGATCCCTGCCCTGGAGGTGACCCACAAGGGGCAGCAAACCTCTCCTGACCCGCCCTCCACTCCCCTCAACAATGTACTTCATCCATCTGCCTGTTTTACTCCCACTCTGTCTCTGGTGAATCCTGTCACTGCCCCTGCACCTCTGGCCTGTACCCCAATTTTGTATGCATAAATAAACAAATCATTAAAAAAAAAAAACACCTCATCCCTCTACCTCTGCCAAAGGGCAGAACCTACTCTTATAAAGCTTCTAACATGGAATGCCAGAACCTGTGTCTGGTTTCCAAAATAAAGAAGGAATGGGCTGTTTTGCACTCGCTTTATTCTCTGTTCTTGAAGCTTCAATTACAGGGGAAGAGATGTGGAAGATACCAGGAGTGTTAGGGGGAAATTTTAGGAGAAATACTTCCTTGTAGAACTAGAGGATCAGGTCAAGAAGGATTTGCTTTCTAACAGAGTCAGAAGCTCTGTTAGAAACTCTTTGGTTTTGATTCATGTCTTTGAGAATTGGTGAGAATTGTCTTTGAGAATTGTGTCTTTGAGATTGGGCTAAACGGGTTCAGTTTGTGATGTGGTGAGTTTGGAGTGATGGTCAGTCTTTTATGCCTTCTGTTTTACTTTTGGTTTTCTGTCTAGTTGTTCTACCCATTATTGTTCAGAGAACCTTCTTCAGGTCCAGCGCTACTAAGTGGCCAGTCAGTGTCTGGACTTGGGTCTAACTCCTCTTAGTTGCATAAGACAGCAAAAGGAAGGTGGTTGGAGCCATTCTGTCTAAACTTCGTATTGATGTTTGGATATTTCCATTTAATTAGATGATTTTGATAAAAGGACACTTCTGAGGTTGCAGGACATGTACAACAGATTAGACTCCACTACAGGGATTTCAGTGGATATTTCCAATGCGCCCTTTTAACTTACCTCCTCTCCCCCATAAACAATTTCCCCTTCATAACCCATCGCTGCCCACCTGCTTTATTTTGCACACATTTTCAGCTCATATTTGAGGGAGGGAAAAACATATTTACAGTGCTGTCAAATCTAGAACATTTTCTCTAAAATTGTAGGATCTCTGCTGCATGGGACCGCAAGATAATTAAGTAAAATAATTCCTACTTCTGGTTTTGATCATAGTTTGGGAGACTTTTCATAAAACTAAATGCTTATTGCTTTTAGGTTCATTTCAGAACTTTTGGCCAGAATATAATTCTAAAAAAGGAATTTTATTCTATTCATATTTTTAAAGCTGCTTTATAATAAGTGAGGGAAAAAAACTCTAATTTCTACCAGTGTGGAGTAAATGTTCCTTAAAGCTAGGTGATATCATTAGTCTACATCTTAATTTTGGGGAAGTGAATAAAGCATGAAAATGTGTTATGAAATAAGCATGTTTATGAACACAAGCATGTGCCTTCATTATTTTTCAGTTTAATGTATACATGTATTTTCATAGCTCTATGTTTCCCCTAAGTATTTATGTGATCTTTGCTAATAGACTCCTCACTGTGGAGTCTAGGCCTCAGTTTCTTTGTGAAGTGAGAATGTACTTCTAAATTTTGTTGTGAGACTTAAATAAGATGGTACTTATAGAGTATTTAGAAAATATACTATCACCACATATTACTTTGTATTGTGCTTGGTGAGTTTTCTTTGAAGAAAATTATGAATCTCTTGTATGATATGATAGAAAGGTTCCAAACCAGATTCTGATATACTGAAAACGATGTCACTTATATCACATTTATACAGCTTGATAATGACCCTCTTGAGGCACATATTCTCTTTTTAGGTTTCTGTGTTCATTTACCCATGATCTATATAAGAACAGCTCATGGCACAAGTCATGTAATTTTGGAATGAGAACATATTTGGAATGAGAAAAACTGATATTTTAAAAGATTCTTACTAACCAAGAGAAAAATTTGCCAACCGATTTACTGCTGAGAATCATTTATTGAAGCATATCCATGAGTTTGATCCTAATCTTTGATTTCCTCCAGGAGGCCATTCTCAAAAGGGGGTATTTCTTGAAGAGGCAATCATTCTTTCACTTGGTCATCTAGGGATTCAGAAAGTTCTTTAACTGTTTATGGTAAGTTCAGGAGTTTTTCTGCAAGAGAAGTTATCTGTTTAGAAAACCAAATTTTGGAAAATTATGAGAATTACCACATTACCAATGGGATTATGAGAATCAAATTTTAGAAAATTGTGAGAATTACCACATTACTAATGGGATAACTACTCCCATTGCCCAACAGGAAGAGTATAAAACAGTTATTCTATGAATTAAAGCAGTATAGAGATATTCTAATTTCATTGAAGAAGGAAAAACACAGGTAGAAGAGGGCAGAGTAGAGGAGAGCTAAGGATGTGAATGCCTATGTGAGCCTCTGGGTGCCAGGAGAGGCTATGGGAACTGCCATGGAGCAGAAAAGGTGAAAGGTAGCAGCAGAAGAATTGATGTGAAGTAGAGACTGATCAGAGGCATATAGGAGGCTATGGGAGGCATAGAAAATGGTATTAAAATAATAGTGTCTGGGGCCCTCCCTGATGGTGCAGTGGGCTGAAGCACAGCACTAAGAAGCTAAAGCCATTTTAGCATGAGTTCAATTCCTGCCTGTCCCAGAGGTGACCACATGGCCCAGCTGACCTCTCCTGGGCCGCCCGCTGCTCCCCTCAGCAGTGTACTTCCTCCATCTGCCTGTTCTGCTCCCTACTCTGTCTCTAGTGAAGCCTCTCACCGCCCCTGTACCTCTGGCCTGTACCCCAGTTCTGTATGCATAAATAAATAAATCTTAAAAAAATAAAAAAGTGTCTGGTGGTTGACCAGCCAGGTTCAAGACACAGTCCGACAGTTCCTAGCTCTGTGACCTTGGACAAGTCATCTCTCTCTCTAGACCTCTGCATCTTTGCCTATTCAACCAATACAATACCTTGTCATGGGGGCTGTAAAGAACACAAGAGAGGAGATAAATTATGTGACACAGTGCAGGGCAATGGTTGGCAATCACCCAGGCATAGTCTTCCTATTATAGATACACTTTTTTTGTGATCTTATCAGTAATAGAGTTTCTACTCTGTTTTGAAAGAGGAATTTATTCATTCCCTTTCAACTCACTTGGTAGCAAACCTGTTAATGAGTTCAGTGTGTATCTTTTTGTCTATGTTTGTAGAAAACATTTTTTTTTTACTTTTGGTTTACATAATGACATTGTGTTACTTATTATTATGCCCCTTGCTTTTTCTCACATTTTAATGTTTTGCCCATATTGCTAAGCATATATCTCATTTAGTCTGTAAGCTGCATAAAAATCCAGGAAGACATCCTCCATAGTTTACCTATTAGTTTCTAGACTACTCTTACCTAGGCTACCCCCAAAACTTGACACTAGCCCATGATATCACCAGACTACACATATATGTGATTGTACAAAGCTATGAGATAGTTTCTTTGTAATTTCCTATGTTTGAAATGCTAGACCATGATATAGCTGCATATTTAGCTTCTTACTGTATCTAAGAAGTGAGAGATTGCTCCTCATAATGGCTGTAACAGTCTTCACTGTCACCACAGATAGTGAAAGTACCGATAGATCCACTTCGTCACCAGTTTTGGACAAGTGACTACCTTATGAGTTCTGCTAGTCTAACAGTGCAAATTGCTTTCTTCATTTTAATTTGAATTTGGTTTTCCATGAACTTTTGAATATCCTTCGTACCAGTTCTTTCAGTTCTTTGCTAATTCATCAATGGTGTCCTTCATTTATGTTCAGAAATTTTCAATCATTTGGAATGGTGATTGGAACTGAAATAAATTTGTAGAATAGTTTAGGGAAAATTAGCACAGTCATAATACTTTAAATTATAATCTAGAAGCATGAACAGGCTCTCCATTTATTCATATAATTTAAATCTTTTGGTTAATCTTTTACAGTTTCCTCTTTGGAAGTCTAGAATATTCTTATTCATAGCTGGATAATTTCTAGATACTTCATCATTTTTATTTTATTTTGGATGCCATTAAGTTTTAACTTTGTTTCATTTTTATTGCTATAAAGAAATGTTACTTGTTTTACAGAACTTCAGCAGTAGAACTTCAGAATCTCCTGTTTGCCACCTAGCAAACAGACAACAATGGAAAGACTTGAAAAAACTAAAAGGTTATTGCTTGCTCCTAGGGAGATTCCTGGAGCAGGTGTTTGCACTGGAGGGCAGCTGTTTTAAAACTATCGGCTCAGAGGCATATTCTGATGGTTAATTTTATGCATCCCCTTGATTGGACCTTGGTGCCCCAGATACTTTTCTGGATATTTCTGTGACTGTGTTTTAGGATGAAATTAACATTTAAATCAGTGGACTCTGAGTAAAATAGATTGCTTTCCATAATGTAGGTTAACATAAAATCAGTTGAGCACTTGAATAGAACAAAGGGCTGACTTCCCAGAAGCAAAAGGAAATTCTGCCAGCAGATGGCTTTCAGACACCAGTTTATGAGACTAGAGGCTTATTTTATAAGAGCTATTGTCCAGATACATGAGGGATTCGGCAGGGTTTTCTATGAATTAACCCAGGTTAAGAAGAGCCTGACAGTTAAAGATCATGTAGGTCCCTACAGTTACTCCAAACTATGAAGGTGCCTAAAAATCTTCATTTCTTTTTAGGTAGGAACATTCACATTATAGAACTTTCCTAAATGTGTCATATGTATGCTTGTCTGTAAATCAGATAACTATAAACTTGGCATTGAGATTATGTCAGAAGATATGGTCATAAAATCATTACAAAATTATATAATTTTTTAAACCAGCCTTGCTGTTCATCTTCATTACTTTCTTTTCTATATAATTTTTTCCATTTCTAATGCTTTGCCTCATAATGTTATTATCTCTGTGGCATCAGCTGAGTTCTTACTTTGGCCCTATACCTGAAACTCAAAGATAGGGGTTACCTAGGGGCCCCCCTGGTGGCACAACAGGTTAAAGCACAACACTATAAAGCTAGTCACAGCTGCTCTGGTATGAGTTCAATTCCCTGCCAGGGAGGTGACCCACATGGTGAGGCAGACCCCTCCTGTTTCAACCACTGCTCCCCTCAGCAGTGTATTTTGTCCACCTGCCTGTTCTGCTCCCCCCTCTGCCTCTGGTGAATCCTCTCACCATTCCTGCACCTCTGACCTGTACCTCAGTTCTGTATGCATAAGTAAATTTTTAAAAAGAAAAAAGATAGGTTATCTAGACCAGAGTTATCAAAGGCCTGCTACTTTTCATATTCTAATTAGTGTAATGCGTATCTTTTTTTTTTTAGTGTCTTTTCAATATTCCTGAAATTGAACTTGGCAGGAAGAGAATGGGTGGAATAAATATTCTTTACTCTTATATTACCAACCCAAAATGTATTTCTTCTCCCAGAAGAAACTATTTTTGAGATGACTAGGAAAATTTGAACATAAAGTGTGTACTAGAAGATGACAAGGAACTAATCAAGTCTAATAACAGCATTGTAGGTAGGTAAGGAAATGCCTATACTTCTTAGAGATGTTCTTTGAAATATGTAGGAGTGAAATGACATATTATCTTAAACTTGTGTTAATATAATCCAGCAAAAGAGAAAAAAATAGAGGTAGAAAATGTGGCAAACATTTGTACTTTGTTGATTGTGTATGTTAGGCATTATGTTAATATCTCTAATTTTATGTATGTTGAAATTTTTAAAAAAGATTTATTTATTTATTCATATAGAACTGGGGTACATGCCAGAGATGCAGATGGTGAGAGGATTCACCAGAGACAGAGTGGGGAGCAGAACAGGCAGATCGACCAAGTATACTGCTGAGGGGAGCAGCAGGCCGGTCAAGAGAGGTCTGCCTGGCCATGTGGATCTCTTCCACGGCAGGGGGGAATCCAACTCATGCCGAAGTGACTTAAGCCCCTTAGTGCTGTGCTCTAACCTGCTGCGTCACCAGGGAGGGCCCGTATGTTGAAATATTTTACAACAGAATATTTAAAACCTGTACAACAGTGAGTTTTTAACTATATCTAGTTTGATCCAAAAAATGAAAAAGTGGGCCCTTCCTGATGGCACAGCGGGTTAAAGCACAGCAACAAGAATCGAAAGCCACTTCCACATGAGTTTGATCCCCTGCCTGTCCCTGAGGTGATCCACATGGCACAGCAGACCTCTCCTGACCCGTCCGCTGTTCCTCTCAGCAGTGTACCTTGTCGTTCCCCACTCTGTCTCTGGTAAATTCTCTCACCACCCCTGCACCTCTGGCCTGTATCCCAGTTTTGTATGCACAAATAAATAAATATTAAAAAAAAAAGAAAAGAAAAAGTGGTTTTACTTACACAAGGACCATCATAGAGTTTAGTTACAGTAAGTCCTTCATATCTGAAAGAAATTATAGTTTGAAGTTACTATACTTGCTCTGTAATATTTAGTACATTTATTAATTATGACTAAAATTTATCTAATTATCATTGCCTACTCTTGAGAAGAAAACACTTTGCAAATAGTGAATTTTTATTTAACAAATATTTAAAAATATCTGCTATTTAGTGATTTGTCAAGGAGATTTACTGGATAAAACATAGCCTGAGGCCCTTGCTGGTGGTTCAACGGATTAGGACACAGCACTGTAAGCTAGCCACAGCCACTTCAGTGCAAGTTTGATCCCCAGTCATGGAGGTGATCCACATGTCTCTCCTGTCTCACCCACTGCTCCCCTCAGCAGTGTACTTCAGCAGTCTGCCTATTCTGCTCCCCACTCAGTCCACGGTGAATCCTTTCATCACCCCTGCCCCTCTGGCTTGAACCCCAATTTTATATGGATAAATAAATTTAAAAAATAATAAAGTAAACCATTAAAAAAAGTAGCCTGAAATCAAATATAGAAAATTCAAAATAACCTTCAATATTTAAGTGGAAATACAGAATACTAGAAAATTAATATGCAAAAAAGGAAGTGATTTTGATGACCTTACAGAAATAAAAATGATTGTAGTGGAAATTATATATCAACAATTTATATAACCTGCATGAAGTGAACAAATCCTTAGAAACACAAATTACCTAAATGGACTCAAGAAGAAATGGAAAATCTCTAAAGGCTCTTGTTGATAGGTAGAATCAGCAATAATAAAAAAAAAAAAACCTAACAAAGAAAAGTTCAGAAATCAGATAAAGTATCAAACATTTGAAAAAACTTAATATCAACCCTTTTCACACACTTCCAAACAGAAGAGGAAGAAACACTTCCAGAGTCTCCTTGGGGTTAATTCTCAGCACTATTATCCATTTAGGCCTGAGTTTGATCCCAGGCCAGGGAGCTGACCCTCATGGTACAGCAGACCTCTCCTGTCTTGCCCTGCACTCCTCAGCAGTGTTTTTAGTAAATTTGCCTGTTCTGCCCCCCACTTTGTCTCTGGTGAATCCTCTCACCTTATAAACCTTCTATGCAAAAGAAAAAAAAAGATGTAGTAACCAATGTGGTATTGGCATTAGGATAGACATACAGAACAAAGTGTATAAATGAGTGTCCAGAAATATCTGTGGCCTATTTATTTTTGACATGGGTGCCAAGACCTTTCAACAGGAGGAGGAATAGTCTTCTATAATTGGTGCTAGATAATCCCATGGAAAAAAGATGAGGTTGGACCTTCATCTCACACAATATAAAAATTAGCTCAAAAATAGATCTACAACCTAAATATAAGAGCTAAAACTATACAATGCAATCACAGTACTTAGACTACATAAAGTATCCAGAACATGTAAAGAACCCATACAATTTAAAAATAAAAAACCAATCAAGGCAATAAAAATATTGGCAAAGGGCTTGAATAGACATGTTTCTAGAAAAAGTATACAGATGGCCAGCAGCTACATGAAAAGATACTCAACATCATCCTTGTGGAAAATCAAAATAAGATACCATTTTACACCAACAGGTTAGATATAAAAACATATGAGTAAGTATAGAAAAATTAGAATCCTCACCTGTAGCTTCAGAATGAACAACGATACAACTTTTGTGGAAAAACTGTTGTATTTATATGTAATAGTGTGGCTTTCATATGTAACTTCAAAAAGTTACATATATAATTACCATATGATCTAGTTAATTTTATTCCTAGGTTTATATACTTAAAGCTTGAAAACAGTCAGATAAATACTTGTTCACAAATTTTTATAGTGGACTATTCAAAATAGCTAAAAGGTAAAAATGCCCATTAATATGGTAAGTGCAAAAAAATTGTGGTATGAACATAATGAAATATTACTCAATGATAAAAAATATATGTAGTGTAGGTACTTGCTACAAGGTCGGTGAACCTGAAAACTATTATACTAAGTGAAAGATGCCAGACATAAACAAATCACATGACTCCACTGTTCCAGAATATCCAGACTAGTAAATCTATTAAAACAGAAAGTAGATCATTACTTGCCGGGTACTGTGGGAAGAAGAGAACGGTAAGAAACTCCTTAGTGAGTATAGGATATTCTAGAATGATGAAAATGTTTTGGAATTAGATATGGGTGGTAGTTTCATATTACTGTAAATGTACTATATGTCACCGATTTGTTAATTTTTAATTGTTAATTTTTAAATGGTTAATTTTATATTGTAAATTTCACTTCAGTTTTGAAAATAGTAATTTGAGCCCATCTCTAGCTATGAAAACTTACCAATTTCTCTACTTTGTTTCTCTGTATCTTTATTTAAACATTAATTCTTTAGGAGACATCCATGAAAATGGAGAAATAAGATCTCTGAAAAATATCTGCTCCGTAAAAGTAACAAGAACATTAGCAAAATGCTTACAACCCATCATTTCATAACTGGAAATCTTAAAAAGGAGCATTTACTTGTGAAAAATAGCTGACTCTTATAAGAACAGTCAACTGTGTAGAGTTTTAATTCTCCTTAGTCCTATCTGCCACCTGCATAGATCTGTGATAGCTGGGAAACAAGCGCCCAGTCATAGTGAGACCAACAGACTGGCAGCACCCACAGGGGACAGAACAGTGTTTGAGCTTGGTCCTACTCCAAGCTCAAGTGCAAACAGTCTTCCTTTTGGACATTTGTTGAAAAACAGTCAGAGGCAATTGTTGAATGTCATGGCTGCCATGTCATGGATACAGTTGAGGAAAACAATAAACTAATCAAAAAAAGTCAAAACTGGGGGAGGAGGTGTCCTTAGGAGGTTTCGAAAAGTACCAATATAGTGAATATTTCCTAAGATGTAGTTTTTTAAAAATATATATATAATAGTTTATTTTTACATCATTTTGCGTCTTTTTCCATCTCAGTTGTAATCCCCGTGGGTTTCCCATCACCAAATCACTCATGTGCCATCATCATAGTCCAGTGTACTTCCCTCCCCCCACAGTTTTGATCCCATTCTCCATTCTACCCCCCATAAATTATCTCTGGTATATAGTTGCTCATTATTATTATTATTTTCTCCCCTGGTCCTTTATACTCCTGCTATGAGTGAAACCATCTGGTATTTTTCCTTTTCTTTTTGACTTATTTCACTAAGCATGATCTTTTCCAGCTCCATCCATGTTGCTGCAAAAGGCATGTGTTTATTTATTTATTTATTTTTAGTTGCTGAGAAATATTCCATTGTGTATATGTACCACAACCTAAGATGTAGTTTTAAACTATATGTTCCTCAACTCACACAAACAACTTTCTGTTTGCAAAGACTGTAATATATTTTTGTTCAATCATTAGGAGACCAGTAAAATAATTGAATAGGTCCTGTTCAGTAGCTGTACATGACAAAAAGTGCAGCCTTCACAGAATTATTCAAGAAGTCACTAACAAATAGCAGCAGACCTGGGGGAATGGAGAGAATCTGCTTTCCAGAGCTGCCAGATTATATTATCATTATTATTATTTTAAAGATTTATTTTATTTATGCATCAAGAGCTGGTCATGGGTGTGGGGGAGATAAGAGGACACACTAGAGACAAAGTGTGGAGAACAGGCAGATCTACTGAAATACACTGCTGAGGGGAGCAGCAGGCAAGACAGGAGAGATTTGCTGTACCATGAGGGTCATCTCCCTGGCTAAGGATAGAACTCATGCTACAGTGGCTGCAGGTAGCTTCATAGTGCTGAGGCTTGACCCCATGAACCACCAGGGAGGGTCCCCATATTATATCATTTAAATATTAGGTTTTCAACAAAAATTATCACACATGTAAAGAAACAAAGTTGATCCCACATATAGGACAAAAAGCAGGAAATAGAAAGTCATTAAGAAAATGTTAGACTTACAAAACAAAGGTTTTTAATATATTATTTTAAGATTTGTTTAAAGAGCTAAAGGAAATCATAACTAAAGAACTCAAGGAAAGTATGAGGATAATGTTTTACCAAATAGAGAATATCAATAAGAGATAGAAATTTAAAAAACCCAAATAGAAATTGTGTAGTTGGAACCATACAATTATTTGAGATAAAAAATTTGCCAGAGAGGTCTAAAACCAGATGCGGAAAAAAAAAAAAAGTCTGTGGACTTAATGGACTTAAAGATAATTAATATTATCAAGTTCCAGGAAAGAAAAAGTAATTAGGAAAAAATGGGAGAATAAAGTCAGGACTTACAAAATTTTGGAGCAGAGATGGCATTCACCATTGTAGGTGACCTGGTCACTGCCACATATGAGTTCACTTGACTTGATGTAGGAGAAAGCCCAGCACTTATTTATATTCTTGATACACTCAACCTGGAGGTGAGAGACAGACTACTACATGAGACGCCTTCATCTAGATCTTTGGGCTATTATGACCGGTGGGGGGGCATCAGAGGTGGGAGACATGGACTAAGGATCAACAGACTAGGAGTTTGGAGAACAAGCTTCAGACACCTCAGTGTTTGACCCTGGCACATATTTCCAACAATATAGATATGATATGATACATGATATAGCATAATATTTATTGTAACAAAATATGTAATCTGTATACTCCTCAATCTGAATTATAAATTCCTTACTATTAAGAAAATCCCCCCTCAACAGCAAAATATGATTTTGCAGAGCTCACCTTTGTCTCTTGGAGGTGAGCTCCTTTGGAGACTACAGGAAGAGGGAAGTCTGGAAGACAAAACAGGTTTAGAGAAATTGCTGCTCTGTCTTCTGTCTTAGGGGAGAAAGCCAAGATAAGGGAGATTCTGGTTGGCACACAGGAAGCATAAAATTCAATCCAAAGGTGCTGTGGTTTCTTTTTTATGCATATTGTCTCCTAAAGGAGTGAAGATTCAGAAAACTTCTTCCCCTCTTCCTCCTGTTAGAGATCTTAATTCCAGCCTTTCCATTTCACAGGTAAATAACATTCTAAAAAAGACTTATTTTTATTTATTTATACATGAAAGAACTGAGATGTAGGCCAAAAGTGGGGGGAGTGAGAGGATTCACCAGAAAAAGAATGGGGAGCAGACCTACTGACATACACTGCTGAGGGGAGCAGCAGGTGAGACAGGATAAGTCTGCTGTGACATGTGGGTCACCTCCTGGCTGGGGGTTGATCTTGCACTGATGGGGCTATGGCCAGGTTTGTAGTGCTGCGTTTTAACATGTTGCACCACCAGGGAGGGCCCTTTTAAAATGCTGGGTTTTACTAACAGCTATATACCAGAGACATTTTGTGGGGGTGGAGTGGGTAATGGGAGGGAAGTGCACTATGGTGGACTATGGTGCACTATGCTGGACTATGGTGATGGCACATGGGGGATTTGGTGATGGGAAACCCACGGAGATTACAACTAACATGGGAAGATGCACAAATTTATGTAAAAATAAACTGTTACATTATTTATTTTTTTTAAATGCTGGGTTTTATTAAGGTTTATATACTAGATCCAAAGCAGTTTCTAAAATTGTAGTTATATATGCACACATGTAGTTACAAATACTTATGTGTAAGTATATTTATAAATAAATGTAAGAATAATAATTTTAGAAACTGCTTTGGATACATAGTTATATAAACTATATAAATTTAGTACGTAAGCTTATATAAATTATAGAATTTATATAAAGTCATGTAATTATAATAAAAGACATTTTGTATTACATAAATATGTGTTAGCTGTTGATGTGAGCCATGATGCCTGTCTCTGTCTCTTTAACCACAGTCCTGCCACATAACCACTGTTTAGGTCCATCTGGCACAAAATCAGAACATGGTGTGTATTTACTGACTATGTAAATGAGTAGCTGCTAGGAAACCTGGAGTGGTAGTAAAGGAATTAGCACAGTTACTAAACAGTTATCTCTTGTTTAGTACAGAGAATTAATATTTGCACTGAAAAATAACTCTTGTAGTAGTATGGGTGATGAGTTAGAGGAAGTCAAGTTAGAGGCAAAGGGAACAGTTCAGAAGAAAATGAAATTATTTTCAGGGAACAATTGTAGATATCCCTTTAGTAGAGGAAGAAAGGGTTTCTCCCATTACAAATTAAAGGCACAAAGAATAGTTTTCAGTTTGTTACAGAGCTTCTTAAGATGTGAGCAGCTTGAAAAAAATGTTTGACATGAGGTAGAGAGAAAATGAGACAATTTTCAGAGTCCAAATGGCAAAAGAACATGTTGAACCCCTTAGAGATTCCTACAGGTAACCATGAAACCAGCCAATCATCAGGATAACATTTGCATGTACTCCCACAGAACCTAAAGAGCTTTTGCATTTGAGAAGTAGATATAGATCCTGAAAGTGAGTGTTTCCAAGATTTGAGTGTCCTGGTGGTAAACCAGGTATTCTGCAAAGTGCAGTCGAACTGGATTTGGAAAGTTTGGTGTCCACTGCCAGCTTTGCTACCATGACAGTGTGTGAGTCTTTTCTCTGAGTTTCAGATTATACACCTGTAACATGAGAAACTGGGATTAAATATGGCATATTTATGGCAGAAAATGTGGGCAGAACAAGGACATGTAACTTACCAACTGCAAAGACAGCACAGGTAGACATGGCCAGAACAAGAATGACGTTCGAGAAGTACCCCTTCATGGTGCAGAAGAGCTGTGGAAATATACAGCTTTTGTTAGTAAAACAGAAAAATCCCACTCAAAGAACAGATTGTCACTGAGAATTCTCATTAATAAGGAAATGGAGTTGAAATACGTAGCGTTTGTTCTTCCTTGGGTCATTTGGAATGAATTGTGTCTGATGCAATTAAATTACTGACTTCAGTTTCCTAGAATAATTGGACATTAAGGGGAAAATGATCTCAAAATATCATTTTATAAGATTCCAGGAAAAGAGCTAATAAGGAGAGATTCCAGGAAAAGAGCTAATAAGGAATCCTTTGGTAAAGGATAAGCGTTGAGAAATTTTCTGTGGAATATTTAGAACTTGGTATTTATTTCTGAATAGGAAGAGCAGACACTGGAAAATGTAGTGACATGTGTAAGTCAACAGACAGTGAGAAAGGGAAAGAGCCAAAACACTGAACACTCATTCCCATATTCTAAATAGTCTATAATGATATTGCTTTGTGTTAACAATTGGTTATTTGGAAACCAATAACTACTGAACTGAAAACAAGAGTAGTTACCAACAACTTACTTGTATACTAAAAACATAGTACTAGCAACTTATCCGCATTTATCTATAGGTTTCTATACATTATTTGCAAGCAAATTATCTAGGTCATTTCTGCCCTAGAACTTCCTCGAATAAAGAAAGGTACTATATAATAATTATCTTTCACCTACTCAAAAGTTTGCAAATTAGTCAGTCTACTTTACCTGCTGTGTCTCCCACGTTTGTTCTGAAAAACTGTCAGGACAGGATGTTTTTTTTTATTTCCAGTTTGTTGATAAGTGAAATAACAATGTTTGTGTACAGAGGACTTAAGCGTCTTCTTAAAGTCCCAATGCCTGGTAATGGAAGAGTGAACTTTGAAGTTAGGAAGTGTAGGCACAATTCAAATCTATTTCTTCCAATTCTGTAATGCCTCAATCTTGTGAGTTGCCGTTTCAGTTTTCTGAGGGTGACTATATCCAATACATTCCATTTCTTCTTGCCAAACCCAAGCCTGTCATTTTAGAGATATGTCATGTCCAAATTTTGATTTCCTACCTTTTTATGTGTCGCAATTATAATATTCAGGACAGCTTCCAATATTTACACAATATTATGAGTTGTCACATCTGCAAATGCAGTTAGTTATTTTATCAATAGTTAAAACTGCATATTCACTTCATTGAAACATTTAATATAGATGTTTCTGCATCTGACTCATAGGATCTTAAAGTAGAAAGTTATGCTTCATGGAATCTGCCAAGTTCAGTCTTATCAAGTGGAACTGAGAAATCCTGGGGTGGAGCACTTGTTCCCTTAAATGGTAGCTCTTTCTACTCCTTGGAACAAAAGTCCCTCAAAACACCAAGTTCCTTTAAAGGAAAAATTCAGAGATTTTGTCTTAACTGGGGACATATGCATCGTTCTGGGAGATCAAGTGTAATTTCTCAGCATTATTCTGATCAACCACAGTGTCTGTCATTATAATGCTCAAAATTTTTTTGCTTTCAATCCCTCTAAATTTGGTGGTCACATATAGTTTTAAATTTTAAATATTTAAATTGAAATTAAATATAAAATTTCTCATCATAAATTTAGATAAATATGGTTGAATTGCTAGTTTAAATATTAATGTTTTAAAATAAAAACCATTCTTTAAGGAATCTTCATTCTATGGTAATTTAATATCACCGTGATATATCTGATAGACAAGCTCACATTGAATTTTTACATAATTTTTTTTTCTTTGAATGAGTGTTTTCATTCTTCTTTCCCTCCCCCCCCACCAAAATTATTTCACTGTTATGTTTGATGGTTCTTTCCTGCTTGACCTAGGCAGGCACTGTCCTACCTTTTTGACTTCTACCTGTGTTTCTGCTTATTAGACTGGCAGATAAAAGAGAAATTATGTTGAGGCATTATCTTAAAATGATCCTGGTTTTGAGTAAACCATAGTCATACAGGTTGAGGAGATGGAAGAAAATGTGGGGGGAAAAAACAGAATAAATGAAAGGATCAGAATATTTTGGGTAGCCTTTGTTTCTGGAGAGAGGCTGGAGTAAGTCTGGAGCTGTGAAATGTTTGAACTGCTGGTTGTGTTTGTAGAGAAAGAACAGTATGCAACTGCTGATACAGGCCCAGAGCCCCAAGCACATTCCATCAAGGAAGGCATAGAGTGGATAGCTGCTGGAATTAACAGCAACAGAAAAGGATACAGAATTGTTCAGAGAGAAGTTTCTTGGGCCAGTCATTTTCAGAGGAGCTATATGATTCCCAGATGATTCACTACCCAGCAAAGGAAGCAGATGTGCCCAGTGTACTGTGGGCTCTGGCTTTGAGCTCAGACTACCTGGATTTACTAGACATGATTTTGATAACCTGAGAAAATGTGGACAGAACAAGGACATTCAAGAGGCAAGTAGAAGAAAGAATTCCTGGGCTACTTAAAAAATATAAAACACAAATTTACAACCATAATCCTCCAGGAAATTGTTCTGCTCAAAAGACACCATTATTTGAGGGATCCCCTTAGAGAGGATTAAGGAGTTGTTAAGAAGACTACATATTTGAGTATATGATCCGAGGGGCTTTACCTGTATCCAGGGCAGAAACTGAAAGTATAAGGAAAAAGGAGGAAGAACTCTAGTCTGGGATACCAGTCTGGGAAAGACAAAAATCCCTAATATCATGTCACCAGAACCCATTCTATCAGAGCTGAGAATGGGTTTTATTCATATTTAGAATTATCTAGTGAAAACAAAAAAGTGAGGTTAGTTATACTGCAAATGACATCCAATGTGTAGCTCAATTCCAGAAACTTTAATAATTATATACTATTTAATACCCATATATTGGGCCCTCCCTGGTGGCACAGCAGGTTAAAGCACTGTACTAAGAAGCTTAAGCCACTTTCACATGAATTCGATTTCTGCCTGCCCCCGAGGAAATCCACATTGAGTGGCAGACCTCTCCTGACCCGCCC